AAAGAACTAAAAAAAATTAAGATGAAAAGAAAACACCTGCTTTTCAAGGAGGCCGTGTGTAAAATTAACAGATCGCTAATAAGATTATTTCACAGAATCGAAATTTAGGTCCCCTAATGATCATATGCATTAGGGAATGTCAAATGCCGCGCCCCCAGAGGCAAGCTGTTCCATAACACACTTCCGCTATAGGAAAGACTTGTTTTATAAAATTCAGTGCGGGGTTGTGGAACAGCGAGCTTGTATTCATTCTCTCTAAGGTTATAACTAGTTAAATCGCAGCGACGAACAAAACGCGAAGTCAGATATTCTGGAGCTGTGTATTTACGATGCTATGCACCACTCTTGCTTTACAAACTACGCGCTGATGGACAAGTTTCGACCACTTTAAATTTTGAAATAATTGACCAGTGCTGCAGTCATCATTTGAGAAAGTTAGAAGGCGGGCGGCGCGATTCTGCAATTTCTGCGATAGAAGATAGGTTCTTCGAACAATTTCCCCGTACTACATTACAGTAATCAAAGTGTGGCTGTACCAGTGAATTATGTAATTACGTTAAGTAGAATCTCAAAGGGGAGAAAATACCTACTTCGCTTATATTAATCGCACTTATGCCAGATGCAATCTTCTTAGAGATTTCGTTAATATGACACTCTCAAGAAAGATTTCCATCGATGTGAACACCTAAGGATTTAGAATTCGACATTTGTTTAATCTGGAATCAATGTGTTTTATATATCTAGATGATCAAAACAGTTATTGTTAACAGGTAAGCTATTAACCTGCAGTAGAATAACCGATGATAAAAAAACGGTTCGAATTTGATCAGTTGCTTACATAGAAGCATGAGCAATAGACGTTAGCCCACGACGTGGCACAAATTTGAAGGACGTCTATCAGGTGTCGTCGCAGTTGGGACCAGTTTTGTGAGCAATTTAGGGAGACTACACATTATCCCAGCTCTTTACGAATAGTATAAAACACACTTAAATGTAATTGTTTTGAGAGGGTATAGTATTTACGCTGTTACTATAGAAACCCAGTAATACTGACTCTGATCAACACAGTTCCAAATATATTAACAAATAGATTAACACATTTTTAAGGCTATCAATACGATGAAACTGACCGCTTTATCAATTCTGGCGTTTCAAAAAAGGAAAGGCGATAATTCGTGATATTATTCATGTATTCTTCGAACGAAAAGGAATTAGTTATAAATTAAAGCAGCAGGTGGTAGTTTTGATATTTTTGAGCAGAAATGGGTCAACAATACCACAATATTTTCATTTAAATTGGTGAACGGTATGTGCCATAACGCATTTCAGAACTGAAGTTTTGGTTAACTTGGACATGTTCAGCAAAACCTATATTTTGATTTGGTTTGGAAAGGTTCATTTGTGTGGAAAAAGTACAAAGTTGTCCGTTTTACCGAACACAGAAAATAGCACCACGTTTCACAGTCCCTCTTTTGACACTGTGAGGCTGTACTGGCACGATTTTCATCCTTTTGCTTATCACAACTCGTCTAGCAAGAGCCTTCAAGGAGATCTCTCTCGTTTTATGAAAACTGCACTTAATACTTGCTGTCCAAGACTCCGTATTTATGACGAGAAAATGAACATTACTAGCTCTTGACAGATGGAAAAACTAATTCGACGAAATCTCGACAAAAATCCTGTCTTTCATTTTTGCAATTTTCTCTAACAAAGGAGAAACAGAACAGCTTCAGAGGAGGTTTGTGGCACTTTTTCATTCACCGGGACCTGCAGTTTTGAAAATTATCCACGGCATGGATTCATTTACAACTGGACTTCTGTATCTTCTATAGGACGTGTGGGCACTGGTGGTAATTTCCTTTTACACGCCATGCTTGCAGGAATGATCATATGGGTTTTGGTAGTTTCCTCGAAGCAAACTCGAAATGTGTTATTAATCGTTTCTTTCCTTCGTTTTCTCTCTTTGTATTCGTATTACAAGTTTTATTTTGTTTACTTTGATTTTCTCTTATCGATCTGGCATAGCTGACAAAAAACGTCCTCCGAGTCGTGAACATTTTTTTTAGTGGAGTGGAATAGTATAGAAATTACCTGAAAATGAGGAAAGTGATATGATTGACATCTTTTTTATCCCTTTTACCGTTAACTTAAGTTTATCAAAATCTAAGTAATTCTGCAATAAGCGGAGGCTCTATGAACAAATTTGAAACTGTAACACATCTATCCACAATCGCTTCTCACTCCGTGAGAACAAACAGTAGTTAGAAAACAAATCTTGAGTGCCGTGTGAATTCA